CTGCACATGCTTCTATTGTACCTTCAGGGCAACAAAACAGAATTTAGTTGTGGATATCCCACTGAGATTTCTGAGTCAAATCTCTAGTAATAGAGAGTGCACAAAGGTTTGTTTTCTGGTGCTGAGAAAAAGAGCACAAAACTGATTATGTTGTGCTCTGGGAAGTGGTAACATGGTAGGTATGAACAATTCTACTCCATTGACCTCAGACACACAAAAGTAGAAGAATAATAATCAGAAGCAGTGCTGTCAAGACTGAAAAAGAGAGCTGTGATGAGGCCTGACAAAGTGTTGTGTTCTTCTGGACATGTTTTAGCACACAAATTTCTTGATAGTTGGGGCTGATAGCTGCTGGGAGCTGTTCCTTATTAAACAGATATGACTCTCCTAAGAAACCAGACCAGACCAGTTTATATTGCATGAGCCACTGGAAGACACAGAGATTTTAAAAAAAAAAAGAAAGTAAGCTGGGAACCTCGAGCATTATATACTCAGTGTCTGTTTTTGGAGATACTAGTTACTCAGTTATTGTTCAACTTAAATTGATTGTCTACAAATGGCACAATAAATGCAGAACCTATCTACAGCAGAAGTTTTCAACTCCTTTACTACAGTCCTACAAAAAGCAAGTTGTTAATAATAAAAAAGTTTTAAATTAAAAATAAAAAATTTAAATTTCTCTTTAAATTTAAAGTTGAATCTCATCAGATGAAAATGCAGGCAGGTATTACAGTGCTTATAAGCTTGAGGTTCTTCTTGTAAAAGCTATATGTTACTTATAAGAATTCATAACCATTTGCTCCAATACCTTAACAAAACTAAATTCTGTATTTGAGACAACCACTGTAGGACTGCGTTGATTGCCCCTCACAGACATGCAGCAGAGAAAGGACTCCTGTTACTTCCAGCAAAATGTTAAAGAATTCCTTTCAAAAGTAATTGCAAAGTGAGCAGATGTAAAGTGGTTGGGAGGACCAAGGAATGAGCTGACAGAGTCCACAAGTACCAAAGAGAGTGACTTCAACCTCAATTATGAACAAAAATAGCAGACCAGTCAGGAGGAGAATTTCAAAGAAACAATCGATAGTGAGTCTGGAGTTTTAGACTGTATTGATTTTTTGATACATTCAAAGTTTGCCCTTGCAAAGCAGGCTGCCTAGCCTATGGGAAAACTAAAGAACAGGTGGGTCTTCACCCTGCCTCTCTTTTCTCATTGTGGTGACCCAGCAATCAACTCCAAAGCTGTCTAAGGTCAGGAAGAAGCTGTAGTTGCTGACCCAGGAATCAACACTTTCAAACTTACTGCTTCATTCATCTCCAGGTGCCTACTGACCACATTTTTAGAAGTTCTTGGAGTGACTGAATTGGAAACCTGAGTCTGTTTAACTGATCTCTCTAGTACAGTTTCCTGCTTGCACAGGTGTATCAGTGAAAGAGAGGATGTGACTTTGGTGTCCTTCTCAAGACCGGTCAAGGCAGCTGGATTTTGTACCATGTAATTACAGACCGTAAGGTTTCTCAGAGCTTACTCAATGCTTCTTGTTTTGATGGAAAATTCCAATCAGGATTTGCAGGCACTCTTTCAAAAATTCTTTCTTGAAGTCTAGTACAGTTCTTGGAAAAAAAATGGCATTTTCACACACACATTACCTCTGAAATGTCTTCTTTAAACTGGTCCATTTACATGAGCAGACTAGTTGGCAGTAAACAAAATGTATCTTTAGGAAAGGTAGGGTTCTTATTCATTAACAGTTTGAGGGTTACTTTTTTAATTTCTGCTTCAGCTGGGCTGGAGACCAGCTGTAATCTAATCAGAGCACTACCCAGAGTTCCAGAAGGAAAAAATGCCATGGACTTCAGTTTCAGGCATATAGAGGCATTTGCAGCCTGCAAAAATAGGCAGTCTTCAACTGCACTGCCGCAGGAACAAGGGCATACAACAAGGACATAAGTTCTTATCTGCCCATCATGCTCTGCTGCCTTCCACATCAAGTAAAATTAGCCCAGGATGCTCTACCATCTCCCAACATTTAATCAAGGTTTTAAACACTTCTGGTTTTATTTGTTGGTGAATATACCTCAGGTGTGTTCTCTAGATTTGACCTTCTCTAAGGCTGAGATGGAGAACAAGAACCAAACTTCAGCAGAAGACTGACATTGTGAATAAGACATTGAAAAGAAAGAAGAGAGATTTTTTTTTTTCCCCTTCGTTCCCTGCTCTCCCTTTCATCTACTCCCTTGACTCATCACCTATTACTAGCAGCATGCTGTATTTACATTTTCTCTCTTGGAGGGAAGTAAAAAATACCTAAGTTGAAACTTCCTTATAGATTCGGCTACTCATCACATGAACACTGCACATTTGCTTTCATTGCTGTCCAGTAAATATTTTATCCTTTTCTGACCTAGCAAGCAATTTTCTGGAGTACACTGTAGGCAATGCTAGTCAATTTTGCAAAGCTGTGAAACATCTGGTATGGCTGTAACATATTGGCAGTGTTATCCATGCTACTCAGCTCTCAATGAGATTTTTTTTTTTCCCTGTGTGCCAAATTGGAGTTGCTGTGAGCTTTGGAAAGACTGAAGCTTTCCCTAGCAGGTCATGAAATGAGTCATCAGGCCTGAATGAATCTTTGTATTACATGGATCACATGTTTAGTAGTCTCACTGAATACACTTTCAGGAAAAAAAAAAAAAAAAGCAAGAATAACATTTTGGTGATTCTGTTAACCATAGACATAATTTTGCTTGGATTCACCCTCACCTGTATTCCTCCCTTCCCCCTGAATAGGTCCCATTTCTCCCTGCCAGGACAATACATATAAATTAATCTCTGTGATACATCTAAAGGCATACCTTTTCTGTCATGTCTGTGGCACTCAGCCTCTTACAATCTTAAGATCCCTGTGCTTCACACAGCCAGACCCCACACATGTGTGGCACTGCAGTTTCTCACTTGCATTCCAAGTTTATGTATCAAGTGAGAGCTAAGGATGTGGGGCAGCGACATCCAGTCACAGAACAGGAGAAAACATGAGACTTTGTAAAGCATTTAGAGACCGTGTCTTCTTGGTTTTTTGTGACATTGCCACTGTTTGGTGTCAGAAAAAAGGCCTTTTTTCAGGCCTCTTGAGAACCTACCTAATCTTACCGAAAGCTCAAAGCCTGAAAACATAAAAGCAGCCCAGGCTTTCAGCAGCATGAGGAGCCAGAAGATAGCAGCCTTGTCACCTTCAACAGAATGCCACACCTGGGAAAGATTTACAAAGCCAGCAAAATCTTTGAGTAAGGCCAGCTCTGCAAAGAGCAGCGGCAGATTCATGTAGTCTTCTGCTCTTTCCAGTTCAGCACCAAGCAGATCTTGGGAAGAGAGAGCACATATGAGAAAGAGAGTGTATTTAAGTACCACCTCTGCTAATACTTGATGCTTTAAAGCCCAGTAATGTCTGCTGCTACACTCGCTGCTGAATAGCAAAGGCTTAAAAAGGAGGAAAAGCATAGGGACAAACATCATTGCTGTCTTGTTCATCACAGCCTGGTAGGGAAAAGTGAATCCAGTGAGCTATTCCTCCCTCATATTGTTCTGTCTCTGTCACTAGTAACATACAGATGTTTTCAGTGTTGCTGGAGTAGCCAAGACAGACAAGAGATGAAAGGAGGGCCATGTGTCTCTTACTGTCTAATCATTAAGGGGAAGGTTAGCAACAGCTGGTGTCACCTGATCCCAGCTGCCCTTAGATCCTTGATTTGCTGTGACCTGACTTTGTTTCTATCATTTCATCAGACAAATTATTTAATTTCTCCCACTCTGGAGCTGGGCTGGGATGTGGGAATGTGACTTCCTTGAGGAAAGGTTCAGACCTAGATTTTAAAGTCAACTCTGCATCCTCCTACTTCTTGTATTTCAGTAAGGTCACTGCCCTTAAACTTCACAGCACCCTCCCCTCTCAGCCAGGCTCCAGAAAAAGGAGAAAACATGCCCAACACCAAGCATCAGGCATTTTATCCCACTCTTCCCGAGCCTTAGCTATACCCTAGGCCACAAAAAATTAATCTGCAGTAAAGATCATGTCCCAGCATTCAGCTCTGCTTTACTGCCAATTTCCACCCAGGCAGTTTCCATTAGCACTGATCTGCTGCCCAGCCAACAAGCTCGGATACAAGCAGGCCAGCCTCCACTGTCAAACACATAGCCAGGCTCTCCTCTGCTCAGTCTGTTTACACCAGTATCTGGCCAATTGCAGTCATGACCTTTGTGCCCCAAGCCACTCAACAGCCACAGCAAATTACAGACTAAAAGCACAGTCTTTAGGCATAAATCCTCGGGCTTTTCCCAAATGCTTCTCACTTGCTTCTTATTGGGCCCAAGCCTAAATCGAAAAACAGGCACTAAGACTAACCTAGTCCTGTTATAAAGCTCTCTCCATGACAAAGAGATGCTTTTGGTGTTTCTAACATTTATTATCTATCACCAGAGCACAACATTTATGCGTAGCACCCCAGCCAAAGATATAGTTACAACCACCTCTAAAAGGATCCTGCAGTCCTACTTTAGTTCTCTCCCCTAGCTTTAGACCTACGAACACACAGTTGCAGCCCTCACACCTGTATCCTTGTATGCTCCTATGGAGTCAAAGCAAAAGAGGAAAATAGATGTTAAACCATCAATGCTCAGAGGTTAATTTGAATTCAGATGTAAGCAATGACATTTTAGGCTGAAAAAAAATAATCCATGGGCTTTTCCTAAATACATCAGATCATTTTCCAGCTTAAGAAAATTGCATTAACTCTTTTTGCAAGGCATAGAAGACTGCTAACATGAGCAGTTGTGGATTCAGTTGCTAAAACCAAGGTACAAATATAAGAAGATATGTTGGCAAGTATGAAGTTTAGTGCAAGTCTGTATGGAATTTATGGACAAATCTCCTGCAACACAAAACCCTTTTACAAATTTAAGCTGGACTCACACTGTTCTTCGTATTTTAAAACAGACTTTTCCAAAGCATTTTCTTAAACTATAGTTTGTATTTAATCTTGAAATGTGCCTCTTTATTCCTGAAAAAAAAAAAAAATACTTTAAATAGATGCCATGGGCAATTCAATCTGAAATTTTAGTTCCTATTTTATTTATCAAAAAAGAAAAATGTTTTGGAAATGTGAAACACTTACCTGGATTTGTCTCACCCAGCAATTCTGTTTCCATTTCCTCATCATTTTACTCAGCTGGAGCTTTCAATTTTCTTCTGTGGAGATAAAAGATCACCCTGCTTCCTGCAGCTACCTGTATTGACTACTGTTTGCTAGCAGGCAGAAAAACAGAAGGGCAGTCAGAAAAATAGGTTCCCCCTCATCAATCTAACCCCACAAGGCTAGCAAATCCTTTACTTCCAGAAAGGAATTAAGTGTTTCTAACAATTGCATAAATAACAGAAAGCTGCAAGATAAGAGCCACATCCTCTGCACTAGTCTTGCAGGGATAATTCAGCAGGAAGTGGATATTCCCTCCATTATTTCCAGCAAGAAAAGGGCGGTCATTAATAGAGCTCAGTACAGATATGGAGCAAACCCCAGCTCACCCCTCAAACCCCAAGGCTTTCATGTTGATCATGGCAGTCCTTATGCTTTCTGAAACCCCAAGGGATAATGGGTTTTTTGAGTTGGTAAAGGAGAAGAATCTGCCTCCAAGCATTGGGTTGTGGATGCAATAAATGAGTTAAATGTACAGTAAGGGGATTTCCTAGAAGAATAGCTGTGAAAACAAAGTCACATATTTGTCTTAAGAAAAGAACTATCCGAAGGAGGGGTAAACATTTGTCTTTTTGTACCTCTCTTCCCCTGTCTAGGTTTTTATCTTACACAAACAAGTAGTAGCTACACAAAACAGTTTGTGAATAATGTTTATAAAGCACAACTGTGTTGCGATAGGGGAGGCAGAAATGCCAAGATGCCAGTTCATGCCAGTAAGCATCACAGGTGCAGGCCTCTGCTTCTGGTGGTGCACAGCATGACCAGCATCTGCTTATGAAAACTGCAGCTCTTCACCAGGTCACCTCAGAATGACATGTGGCATCAGCTAGTGGCATCAGAGAATCAAAGCAGGATTTGAACTGACTGGATTGTCTCCATGTTCCCATCCCCTGTCTGTGTTTCAGTGGAAGAGTCTGACATAAAGGCACAACTAGTAAGTGACTAACAGGGTTTGAAGCAGTAGAAATATCCAGTAAGAAAGGTTTCCTTCTGTGTTAAACTTCCTTACCTGCCTTTAAAAAGGGGTGATTGACTACCTTCAGTGCAGATACCAGGAGTATGAAATACTACTAATCTTTCCATGACTGATTTTCTTTATTCTCACAGCTGTTTTGCCATTATGGAAAAGATAATGAGATTCTTTAAGAGAGGCTTTAGGAACACATAGCATTAAAAAGAGTAAGAATTTGTTCTTGTGTCAATGGAAAACAAGATAAAAGAACACTTCTTGTAGCATATTACTTTGCATGTATTGAGTTGGGTTTACACAAAATAAAACCCTCTTGAAATGTTGCTTTAATTTCTTGAAATTATATTTTTCCAAGTGGTTATAAAGAGAAACATAGCATTATATAAACCTGTATGAAATGTAGTTTCAAAAATTCCTCCCACCAAAGAGTCAATTGCTCTAAACTGTTCTCATCTTCTATAAAGAGCTAATTCTTTTGCAGTGTATTTTGTCTATATATCTCAAAGATCATCTATAAGCATGTGACCCTGCTCTCAGCCAGGTGACACTTGTCAGCTCATTCAGTGTAGTGCAATAACTTCACTGCAGAGTGACAGCTGCAGTAGTTTACTAAACTGTCCATGTAAAGAGCAGTAAGTGCTTTATCATCCGCTCTCCTGATTGAGGCATCCTCAGGACCTCTCCCTGGTAAGAAGTAATTCATCAAGATCTAGGCTATCAATAGAAAAAACACAGTACAAACATCTGGGACCCATCCAAATGTATCTTAACTAGATGTTTTGTACAGCAGAGGTCTCTCCCCATGAAATATGCCGCAAGAGTTTACATGTTCTCTGCACAAAAATTCTTCTTCTTTAGGCAATTCTTCCTGCTAATTACTTCCAGCAATTATGTAAATACATAGGGACACAGATATAAAAAGAATCACATGTGATGTCAGTTTCCCATATATTTAGAGTTTCACTTTGCATCTAAAGGAAGGAGAGGTAAACAAGCAGTCCAACAAAACAACACCAAGGGATCATCGAGTAAAATATACCAAATAAAATGAATGCAGCACAACACAGTTGAGGCAGCTATGTTTGAAAATACAAGACATCCAAATGGAAAACATTAGCTATTTAAATTCTCTTTAACTACCTTTCCTTCTGTTTTTCTCTTAAATCAAGTCATGGTTTGGAGCTTTAACAAAAAAAGGGTTTAATCAGCCTGTTTCTGATGTAGAGAGTAGGTTGAAGTAATGATAGCAGACTGGAAAGATGTCTTCTGTTGCCTAGCATTGTTGTGCCAAATATAGACACCATGTGTTACATTCCAGCCCGAGTGATCCCAAAGCATCTTCTTCCATAAAGTCCCTTTTGCTTTGGGAAGGTAACACCTAAACACACAGTCAACTGAGAGAGAATAGAATTTCAGTTCCATTGAATATAGTGAATAACTGCCTACCTAAATCATTCTTCTCTGAAAGAAGTCTGTTGAGGAAAGGAGGTGTACACGGTGTTGGAAAGTAAAAAAAAAAAATAATTTCTAAAGCATTCTTGTTTTTCAAAAGAAAAAAACCCTTCATTTATTTTTAAAAGCCAAAAACAAAATGTCACTTCATTTTTCTCTCAAATATAAAATAAATAACAGCTTGGTAATAAGCTCTCAGAGGATGAAAACATTTGCGCTGAAATGTTTACTAGCATAGGGAGTGAAATTTTCGTTTAACTGATAATGTAGGAACAGTATGCTCCTGGAAAGTTCAAAGAACATAACAGTCAAGCAAGAGGTGGTAGATTGTTTCTGAACTCATGAAGAAGCATTCACACATATGAACAAGCTTGGAAAGATACTGGAGGCTGTCTGTCCCTCAGTAACTGCTCCCTGATTTTGAATAACTCCATGTCCATACTCACGCTACCATCAGTCTGCATGCAATCTTCAAAGAATAAAATGCTTTTGTTATTCAAAATAGAGTGCAATAAATCATGAAACAGCATTATTTTTTCTTTAATGGTTCATAAGACAGATTGCCAGTTATTGACCCATAGCAGGTTTTTAGTTGTCTTCGATATTTTTCACTGCAAAAGGTATTTTAGGGTATTTATTTCAAAACTGACATCTGTGTCTTTCCTTGGATTATATCTAATTGACAAAGCCCAGATACTGAGCATGATTGTGGGGAGAAATAATTTAAAATAATTGGAAAAGGCTTGGCTAGGCTTAATACAATACTTGTAAACATTTGCAAAATTTACAGAGATGCATATTTTTGATGGAACAAAGTTCAGATGAACTCCCTGGTAACTTCTTGGGTGGAAGAGAAGAGGGAAAGAAGGCAAAACCGAAACTGAGATCCTCTTATAAATGAAAACACATTAAAACAACAAAAAAGCTTTTTTGTTTTAAAAATGCTTACAAAATCCTCATTTGATGCACAAATCCAAATTCAGAATCCTCCCAAGCTATTCCAAAATGAAGCTAATTCTTCCACCCCCATCTGATCTACGAGTCAATCACAGCAACAGGAAACTTTACACGTTTTATAGCTACCTTGTAACACAGACATCTCTCTGGCTTATTACACTTGAAATTAAGGGTGAAATTTGTGTCTCTAAAAAAAAAAATTTAAGTTTCAGTTTCCAGGAAGCATAAATTGATAAAAGCTTTCAAGACAATCCATTGATTTTTCCCATTAAATAGCTAATCCTTACCTTCTACCTCTGTCATATGAAGCAGAACAGCGTAGTCAAAATATCCCAAACATGCTCACATCCTTTCCATGGGTGGCTTTTGATGCAACAATACAGATAGGTACAGAACAAATGCAGCCCTTCTACTCCACACTTCTCCAAGTGCAGCCACAGAGATCAGAGGATTTACTATTGCTTTGTTAAGAACTAATCATATCCTCTTACCAGTGAAGAAGGCAAGAGCTGATAAGGATCCTGCATCACAGGAAGCCCCTCCTTGAGTTGGGTGCATGGGGTACTTTGGTTACCACAAGGCTGCAGCACAGTTCCTGTGCTTCTATCTGACTGTACAGGGCATTAGCCTGGGCTCCAGGAGGCCTCAGGCCACTTCTGTCCTGCTGGTGACCTCACAGGAGTCCCTTACTCTGTGCTGCTATTTTGCCACAGTGACACAAACAATAAAGGAGTCCCGTTTTTGCAATTTTAATTTAGATTTAGAGGCACTGTTAGGAGCAGAGGGATTATTCTCATTCATGCAACAGGCTTGGCTTCTGAAGTGGTAAACAACCTTCACAGCCAAGGTATTTCCTACTCTATCCTGGTTCTCCTTCTAGTGTGTTTTAATCTGTAACTGTAAAAAATGGGGAATAAGTCCACAAGAGATTATTTTTTATGTTGAATCATAATTATTACAAGAAAAGTTAGGTAAATGACGCAAAAACACTTCTTGCTAGCAAGATGAAACTTGAAAATTCTAGTTCTGTAGTTAAAAGATGGAACTTATTTCAGGATGAGGTAAGAATTAGTGGGATCTAGAGAATTAATAGGGCACACACTTCCGATCTCTCACTCATGCAGATACCTTCAGGGAAGCTGGGACCTGGCATTTCCTGAGACCATGAAAGCACATTGTTCTTCTTGCTGTGACAGCAAAGCACTGTTCACAGGCTTTTTTTGATCTGGAAGCAGGGGAGAAAAAAACACAATCCAGCCTCTAAGCCTCCGGAATCACTTTTTTTAAAGGTGTAGGACCCAACAAGTTGCCGATGATAAAAGCTGAATACCAGTGACATGTTCCTCTGGTCAGGCTGCAAGTCTGGGTTTTTGGGTATCGAGTTTGGCTGATATCAACTTTTGGTGCTGGCTATTCTCAGACCAGTAGTTTAACCAACCATCACCCTATGCAGCAATCTCCATCAGAAGGCAGTAAGACAGAAGACATGGTACTGATCTGTTCACATTTCACTTTTAACTGTTGGATTTCCTTACTGTAGGATTCACTTCTGCTGTTTGTATTATTCAAATAGATATGACTGATTACTTTGGCAGACCTACCAGGGGAACATATTATTGCAGTTTTCTTTCACTGTTTTGTATTAGAACCCTCCATGTTCTACAATGAAAGGTTTGAGGGCTACAACTCCACACCATCAGCTTCCTCAAACAAAACAGGAAAACAAGTGAAGTAGGAGAGAAAGCAATTTCCCACAATTGTGCTCAAGGTATGGACTGCAGCTCAGACCCTTCCAGCCTCATCTGACCTTGCCAGACCACTTGCATTCTCCCACAGGAAAACAGACTGAGCAGAAAGCTAAAGATCTAATCTTTATAGGAACATAACTGAGAAAGAAAACGACACCTACTGCCATCAGTGGGAGCTTCTCCAACTACTTCAGCAAGCTCTGAAAAGGGTTAGGCCAAGAGGACAAGCAGTAGAAACTGAGGCACAGAAAGTCCCACCAAAATATGAGAAAGACAGAATAAGGAAGAACTTCTTTACTGTGCAGGTGACTGTGTAGTGTTTGCCCAGAGAGATTGAGGAGTCTACCTCACTGGAGATATTCAAGGACTGTCTATGAAATCCTGTGCCAGCTGCTCTAGGGTGATGCTCCTTACGCAGGGAGGTTGGACCAGATGACACCCTGTGGTTCCTTCCACCTTGACCCATTCTGTAGTTCTGTAAACTCAAAGTGAAAGGTCTGCTGTATTCCCTCTGGCACCAGGGAAGAAGCACACAATCTGCTTCTTCCTAAACCCTCATTTTCTGCACTACATGGGCTTACTATGTTTACACTTTGCTGTCTCAGAAATGTCAAGCTCGTCAAGCATTTGTAAAGCCTCATCACCTGGATGTGTGTGATTACATGGGAAACTCAGCTCACCCAGTTTCTAGACAGCACAACAGCAGGCACAAAATACAACTCAGAAGCCAGACAGCCTCACACTACTAATATTGACATCTACATTGCTTGGACTTCATCTCCAAGGTCTTTTCCAACCCAGTAGATTCTGTGTTTCTGTGATTGAAACTTAAAACACTGAATTTGAATCCTGTTATTAAACACACGTCAGTGTCTGTGTGAGGGTCTGAAAGGCACCACTGGGCCTGTCTGATGTTGCCTGGCCCCCCAGGACTCCTCCTGGGGAGGATAAGCCCATGAATGCTGATGGAGTTGTTCCTCCTGGGAACAACTGTCAGGACCCAGCCCTAAAGCGCCTGAGAATGTTCAGCTCCCAGCACACCCAGACAGTCTGCACAGTTAGGCAGGATGACTCTCTCCTTGCTCTACCCATCTGGCACTTGTGACACCTGAATTCTGTGCTGACTCAGCTCCTGGGCAACCTGTGAAATGCCCCTGCATGAACATGGAGTAAAACAGCCTGGCTGCCCAGTCTCCTCTCCAAAATGTTCCAAGTTTTCTCTCAGAAAATGACAGGCATTAATTATTACCAGCTCTCTCTCCTCTGGAGCACACAGGACAAGCTGCTCTTGTCTTGCAATCGTGAGTCACCCCTTTGGATGGTGGCGAAGGGAAGACAGGGATGATGACGTAATCCCTAACTCTTTCGGGTTCCCCATCTGCCAAGGAGGAAAAAGCAGATTGTACTGCCAGGCAAAGCTTAGAGCTTACATTTGTTCAGGAAGGTACCATGAGGGCAATGGGCACAGATCTGTGGCCGAGCAGCCAAGAAGGTAGAAGACGGATGAGCATTGGGAGAGCAGACCTAGATCTAGAGATCTAGAGCTCTCCCATGCAGTACTGGAGATACAAGATCAAGCTCTGCCTGATTGGGGTAAGGCACTCAAATATCATCCCAACTCTCCTTTCTCACCAGTTTCTTCTGTTGTGGAAAGGACAAAAATAAACCAGGGGCACATTCTCCCCTAAAAAAATCCTTTCTTCCAGACACAGAGAAGAAAAACGGTAATTGTAAAAAGATGAGCCTTTACCATTTTTATAAGCTGTGTTTAAAGGTCCAAGTCCCTTGAACATCCTACTCCCATTACTGGCAGCTAAAGGCCAGTATCTGTCTAGTATATCATGCTGTTCCCAGCATGTTTTTCTAGATACGCACTTTTTTAGACCCATGAGATGAGAAGACAGCCTGTCCAAGGAATTCAGGGATTTCTTTGAAGTTCTCACCATTCCTGGTCCTGGTCCTGGCCCTAACTTAACTAACTTATCTTTGGCTAGGAACATGATAGCAAAATCAGAAAGAGAACAAAAGAAATCACTCTTCCAATCAACTTGGATCTCTCTTCCAAAATAATAAATCTGTACTTGCAACAGAACCTTCAGAGTTTACACATTCAATAGCTAACTGAAGTAAATAATTATTTGAACTTTTCAAAGTAATTTATTTAAATAGTCTATCTATTTAAAGAACCCATCTGTTCTTTAAATTATCTACAACCATTTGTCATTAAAAAAAAATTGAACATATTTGGCTTTAATCTTTGTTTGGGATTTAATCAACCCTCCCAACCTTGCCAAGAATATTTTAAATAAATCTTCTTTTTGTAAAACAGAGATTTTAATGAAGTATTACTATCTGTCTGTATAATCCTTTTAATAATCAGAGACAGGATTCCGTGTCACAACTTCAGAAAAGCTAGACAAAAATTGGTCTAAATTACTCTTCAAAGCAGCCCCGAAATATCTTCAGAATCTGCTAAGCATGTCTGAGTTCATTTCAGGAAGATGCCAAGGTATTCTATGCAGTAAAAAGAGGAGTGAAACCGACAGATCGACATAAAAGTTGGAGAAAAAATTGTCCTTGAGTGCTGTCTTCATCCCAAGCTGTGACCCTCAACATCACTAACCAGGGTAATAGGCCATTCGTTGGAAACCTTTTCCCCCCACATTTCAGTGCCAGCCATGGGAAGAAGACAGTCCTCCCCTGGGAGACACTACAGGATCACGGGGAACACAGTGGTACCTAATTTTATACTTTTGCCTCATTTCCCAGGCAAAATATCCCAGAGCTTTACTGGCTAGGTGGTCAGCTCTTTCCATTTCTTTCTACCTGACTCTGCTCATGTTGAAAGAGACTCTCGGATCCAAATGCTGTTACACATCCACAAGTCCAAGTGGTGGATCTGCATTTAAGACTCAGAAGATATTTTACTATGGTACACAGTGCTCTTAAACCTTCCCAAACTTTGTAAATGCTGGTATCAGCAGTTTTAGTCTCATTCTTATCCCTTTGTATTGCTCTAGCTTTTATTACAACTGGCTTGAGGAGCTGAAGTGACTCCCCTCTCCTTTTGTGTGTTTGGAAAAATCCTGGCAGTGTATTTTATGAGATCAGTTAGCCAAAGAAGGTTGTGTGAACCTCTCAGTAAATGGGTCACCTACAGGTATTGAGTTTTCTGCATACTTCTAGAGTGTTTAAACTGTTGTTTCTGATTGTTGCTGCCCTTCTGCTACTATTGCACTTCCCCAGCCATATTGAACCAGCAGTTCTCTGTTGCACAGCAAGTCAGCCTCTCAGTGGAGTTCCAAAACTGGGAGGTCTAGGTACATTTTAGAACATTGGGTAGTAGTTACACAGTTCTACCAAAAAGCCGTGCTTCAGACCTGCTGGGACACCATTACCTAAATGTATTATTCAGTGTACAGTGCATAGTGGCAATACTATACCATAAAATGCCAATCTTCACACACTTTAGGTGTCTTTAAGTCACTCATATGGGCCAGGAGACCAGACAAAGAGCTAAAGGCAACAGTCATCTTTCTAGATCTTTGAGGACACATGTCCCTCTTAAGCATCACTAGATGCCTGTTTTGAAGGGACAGAACCCTATACAAATAGACTCAAAGCCTTGTTTCTTCAATGAGATGTAATTCAAGTCCCAGTCTTGAGTGCTAGAATCAAAATTAGCCAAGAATGCTCTACTGTGGTCATTCC